GAGCGACCTCTCTGTTTGAGGCCTGTCCACCCTCTGCAAACAGCACTTTTGGGAGAGAAGAGGACCCCAGAAGCAACGACAGTTATGTTCCATCAGTCAGAACAGGCATTAGAGTTGCGAGCATTCGGGTTTGCTTCCTTCCTCGTTTCAGCTAGTTCCTCCCCACACCCACCCGTGTTCACCCTTCTGCAACAGACTGCTGCCAGCTTGGCACAGCCAGCCTCACCTCTGGTGCAAGCCCAGTTTGTGGCTGGACTCCCCAGGGGCATAGCACACATAGCTCCCCTACTGCATGACTCCCAGACTGGTTAGTACGACCGGCTTTGAAGTTTGTTTTCAAGCCAAAGGTTAAGACTACTTCCTCACCTTCATTTTCCTCCCTTGGACATGCCCTCACCTCCCCAAATTCAGCAAGATGACCAATTCTCTGTGCAGAGGTACTCTCAACCTACCTGAAGAAGGTGAGCAGGAACACAACAACATGATGGTGGGTGCAATGGGACACAAGGCCTCTGTTTGCAGGCTGCCTCCGTAAGCTTCCAGGTAAAGCCATCCTCCTGGCAGCCCTACCCCTGCTCCTGCCCTTGACCACAAAAGCTGGATGGTGCTTAGGTCATCTTTCTTCTCACTTAAACAGAAGAAGGTGAGAAGGGAAAGGGAAAAAAACAAAAAACATATTTGAATTAAAACACATGCATAAAATGCAGCTGTGTTCCCCGAACAGCTGGAATTCAGCAGGAACAAGTCTATGCCATTCCTTCCCAATTTGTTTCACGCCACTGCCCATCTCATCACCTGTACATTCCTTGACACCTTCTACGCCCAGAAATGTCTTTTTACTCCCATTCACCCAATACCCCCTTTGTTATCCTCCAACCCACTTATTTTTTGTTCCCCTCCTAGAAGATGCATCTTCAGTGCCCACCACCAAAGGAGTTCCCCCAGGATCTACCAACTTCCAGTGCTCCCATGCTAAAGACCATTCCGCACCTTTTACATACACGGTGCACTACAGAGTGGTCACAAATAAACTAACTTTCCGCTGCTACCTGGCTGGCTATAGACTGGTGAATTAAGTCAAGGGAGCAGCACTTGGTTACTGGTGGGGAATGGGTTTGGATCTAACTGCCTCCTTAAGGTGTTCCTTGAGAGAATATACCAGCGAGCGGACTTGCACATCTGGAAAAAGGAAAGTAACTGCGAGGACAGTGCCGACATCCAACAGCTAGACGCCCTGCCTGTTCGTTCTCAAGCCCTACATTACAGCTCCATCTGTCACGAACTCATTAGCGCAGCATGTGGCAAGTCACACTTTCCCGTCCCTACCTGTAGGGCACGGGTGGCATCTGCCTAAACTTCCAGGTACCAGATATTATCAGTACTAAGGAAAGGCTACGACAGACACACAGTTTCTTAGTGCTGGCTCACGCCACGCTACTCCGCTCCCCCAGCTGTGCTGGCATGGCCAAGGGGCCTTTTCTGCAAACCGAGCCCGAGAAACGATCCCGTGGGGCAGCGAGGTGGTGACTCTCTCTCCACACCTCCCTTTTGTTTTCTCGGCAGGGATCTTTCCAGCCAGATTTCCCCGCCATGGCTCACAAAGCAGGTACACAAACACTTGGCGTCTGTGCAACAGCGAGGGCAGTGCAGAGAAAGACACGCTGTACACTGACGTCGCTGCTGAAGGCAGAACTTGGTTCTGTTCACAGTAGCAGCCTTAAGTCAGCGAGACAAATCAGCTGGTGGGAGCTGCGCCTCCAAGAGACATTTAAACACCACACGCTTCCCGGGTGCTGAGGAGAGGTAAAATAACACACCACCCTTGTTCCCCCAAAGAATCAGAGCTGAAATAAGACCGAGCATAACGCCTTTGTGTTCTTTCATATCCACAGGTGGTTTTGGGTAATGATTTGTAGATCTGACAGAAGACTTTTCAAGTTCAGCTTCATAACCTCACTCAGAGACCTCAGAAGTCATTGTCCAGACTCTCCCCCCATCCAAATTTCTGCTGCTGAAAAGCCTGTATTTCACAGAGATATCTGCTTTTCCTTTTAATAACTTTTAAAGGTTTCGTCAAGACAACTTCCGCTGTAAGAAGTCCTCCTTTCCTGTTTCCTCAGTGACGACGTGCGCCTGACTGACAAACAGATGCCAGCTACTGCTGGATACATTAACCACCACCGAAACTGAGGCCACATCTGGCCTCCAAAACAGAGTACGGCATGGAGATCCTCCGAGTAACAGGGACCCAGCTACTACACCTTTCAGACACTGGAGTAATGTTTATGCTACACCACACTTGAACGCCTCCATTCTCATCCAGAACAAATGCAACAAATCTATAGAAGATCTGAGACCGTCTACCCAGGGAAGTGGTCGAGTCCCCATCCCTGGAGGTATTTAAAAGACGGGTAGACGAGGTGTTTTTAGGGACACAGCTTGGTGGTGGGATGGCACTGTTAAGTTAACAGTTGGACTTGATGATCTTGAAGGTCTTTTTCAACCTAAATGATTCCACGATCTACGCAGCCCAGGTGCAGCTGAGCCATTCCTCCAGCTAGGACAGCCCAACCAGGTCCGGGAGCACCTTCTGGCAGGGAGATGCTTCTAGGCTGCTTGGGCTCACACCGAGGAAGGGGGAGCAGAATCACCTACAGTAGGGGCTGTGGGAAGGCAAGGCTAAGCCTGGAAGAGGCATCTTCGCAAGCAGTCTTGAAACTACATCCATCTAAGGTCCCAGACCATTTCTCAACATCAACGAATGAAAACTCCGCACCCATGCACGTATCACTCGAGGCTACTCCCTTTCAGGCAGCAATGCAACTGCTCAGGGCTGTCCCCCACCCAAGCTGCACAAAGAAGAGAAAGGCACCCGAGGCACTCCAATTTCCCAGCACCATGCTCCTTACAGGCCCGTGAACCACACGGTCCGCTGGTCAAACGCAAGAGCTTGTTCTCCTTCCCTGCCTCTCCCTCCCCTCCCACCAGCCAACCGCAGGTAACAGCGCTCTCCCGAGGAAAGCAAAACACTGCCAGTTGTGCAACGCTGCGGGAAAAGTTCCTTCCTTGGGTAATCAGTTCGCAGCCCAAAGCACAAGATTTACTGCTCGCTTCACATCCATGTATGCAAATATAGATCTTGTTTGTCCAAGATACTGAGTCTTTTTAAAGCTAAGATCTGGCTTTGACCTTAAAGTCACTTTTTCTT